AGTTGGCGATGAGACTCATTCAGGGTAAATTCCACATCGAAATCATTCCACTTTTAATCATTTTTACTTCATCTTTTAAATCCATCAAATAAGTACAGATCTATAAATGATATTCTAAGCATCACAATACCTCAATATTCCAAACATAGTTACAGATTTTCATATTTTTTTAAAATTATATATATCTAATAGAAGTTAATATATAATATTACCTTTATACTTATGAATATATTAATAGAAATGTTCCTATGATGAATGTTCATTTTCACGATGTGGTTGGAGTTGTCTTCGTTGAAGCTGGCGACGTAACTCATTCAGGGTAAATTCCAAATCGCACGTTTCCCATTGTCTCCCATAAATTAATTCTCTAATCTGTTTTTTCATTGCATCAAATGAGTACAGAGCATATAATACCATTGTAACTAACACGACATATCCTAAAATTGTTGGATATTTCTGATCTAATCCTAGCATAGTCCAAAGATAGTGTTCCGTATCGGATGTTATAACGTCAGTTATACATTCTGAGCAATATGTTGCTATAGCAATTTCAGTAAAACCCTCTGTGATTAAGATTTTAAGGATAAATAGGAACAAATTCCACAGGAATGACACGTGGGTATAATATCTATTCATTTTATTAAAGCTCATATTTATAACTTTTGTGATAATTACTTTTGTTGCAAGGAGGAACAAACACATATATAATGGAACAAATTTCGCACATATGTCCTTGTCAGGAACTGTTCTTTTCATTTGCCAATATACGGTTAAAGCTATATAAAATATATCCCATGTTCTTAATCTTATGTTGAAAAAAAACCAAAATAGACTTGAAATCATTGTTACCGGAAAGCGCTTAGAATTTTGAAAACTGATGGAAATTGTAACTGACTGTAAAATTTTTAAAATAATAATAAAAAATATAAAAATTTAATTAAGCTTTTTACTTTCTTTAAAAGGAAAATAAAAATCAAATGTAAATGGATTAAACTGTATAATTCAAATGGTTCTATATGTTTGCATAATGTTATATGGTGGGATACATTTTTTATTCTATTAATGCGGAGGGAAGGTTTAAAAATGCTTAACGTATATGTTCGATATGCACAGACTAAAAAAAATTCCCCTCGTGTGTCAGACAACGGTCTGGAATTTTATCGGGAATATTTCAAAATAGAGTCCCTGTGTTGGTTATCCATTGAAATATTTTTCTTTGTTAGCCTTCGTCCATGCCTCGCTTCGGTTTATTAGTTTTCTTTTTTTCGAAATCAATCATTTTCGAGAATACTATATATTTTTTCCGTTTCAGTATGATCGTAACGAATCAGTCTGTGGCGGTCCAGTTTTCTTCGGATAGTATCATTTTCGTTATGATATTTTCGACGTTTGTTTCACCAACTATTGTTTCAGGTGATGATCTTTTAGCGTGCCATCTGAATATATGCATTTCCATATATGCATTTCTAAACATTTGCTTTTTGAAAATATCCATAATCAGAAAGAAATTGAATTAGATGATAGTTTACTTCGCCAGTTTTCCTATCTGACCACATCGTTATATCTACGTTCAATCTTGCTATCCATCTTCCATTTGTTTGGTTGGATATATAGTTTGCATTTATTTATATTGTTAAAGGAAGTATGAATTAATTATTTGTGTATGTAATTTCAGACAGATTTCCCTTGAAGTTGTACAAAAGAACTTAACTACTTACAGCTCCCAAATGATTATGCGACCTGTCCAGATTATTGTAGTGTATTTAGGTAGTAACAAAAGAATTTGTTCATTTTTTTTTTTGTGGTGATGAAGTGGAATGCTTTATGCAATGTCAAACCGACAGCAGTCGGAATGGTGTACCGGAGTTCTTAACATATACTTATGTAGTATATGCACTTCCTCTTCGAAAAGACTTATTCCCCCCGGAATCAAAATGGTAAGAATATTAATAGAACTCATTAAGTCTGTACAATGTACGATAAAACACATTTTTATATTAATATGTAGTATACGGACTAAAACACCCACTCTTCGGAGAGACTTATCTCCCCCGGGTCCAAAATGAAATAATAATAATAATAATAGACCACGTTATTATTATCTATTATCCAAAGCTTCTTTGTAATTACTTTTTCGGCAACTAAATTCAAATATAAAAACAGTTCAAATAATGGTTCTAATGAGAAAGAGGTTTTATAGAACCTTTTGTTACTGCAAGGTCTCGGTCTCTTCGTAACATAGTAAAGTGCTAGAGCTATTTTTAAAATTGAAATAAATAATAAAATGTTCGATTTTGATTATACTCCAACTGCTCGAACATCGTAGTGCCTGAACTATTTGAAGCAAAAACTAATAAAAGTTCATAAATCGTAATGTAAGCATGAATTTATTTAAACATTTTTAAAAGGATTATATTTTTCTCAATTTTTTTTTATAGAAATTCATTATTTACCTGAAAAAAGACTATTATATGAGATATTAATATATTATATTATTTTTTACTTGATAAACTTTGACAATTAGGTTTGATATACCGGTATTGGTCAGTTGGAATTCCAAAATCAGTCAGGACCCCTTATTATAACATCAAATACCTTTAATTATAAGTAAAATTTAAAATGAAAAATACATTTTATAAAATATTCTTATATGATTTTAAGTATTATTCTTACTACTGTTTAAATCCAAAACCTCTCTGCATTGATTTATAAATCTTTCTTATTGGCAATATTCCTGCACATAATAGCACACAAGCTACAATGTAACCAAGATATGTCGGTTCTTTTTCATTTGTTTTGGTCCAAAACTGAAATCCAATATTACTCCAAGATTTAGATTCTTTATCAGCCATTAGAAAGTTTTTAAAAATTGCTAAAAATATATCGTTTCCAGTAAAAATCATTGGCATCTGAAATAAATTAATAATAACAAGACAGACATCATAGAAAAGACTTGATGGAAATAATTTCGAGGGTTCGAATAGGATTTTCAACAGCACCCGGTCAGTTCCTATAACAAAGGCTAAAGCTACAATGCAAGATTTAATTGATGTTTCAGAGTCGCAACCAAATTCCTCGGTAACTGATTTCCAATATAAAATAAGTTGAATTAAAAATAGATGTAAATTAATTATAAATTTAATCATTTTTGCAAATTTTTTTTGGAGTCAGAACGTTCGAAGAAACCAACACAATTTTGTGGGAATATGATTGTAGATTAATTTCAAAAAATAGAGAAAAGAATATATTTTTATTTTATAAAAATATAAAAAAAATCAAAGATAAATTGATTTAGCTTAGATTTTAATAACGTCGAGGTCTGTCAGAAGCATAGTAGACCTAAACGTTTGATCATCTTCCTCTAAGAGTGTGTATAGATTAAATAAGAATACCGGTTTTAGCATAGCTGGTAATCAATGATTTAACACTTGCGAGACTCTACCAGGGAAATGTATCTGGTACCACTAAGGTCGAAGCGTTAAATTTAAAATTGGTTGAAGCGGTTCTGACGATTGAGACGGGTGCCTATAAAGGAATAGTGACTTTGTAGTTGTGGTGCGTGAGCAGAATGACAGAATTCGATTACTTATTTGATGTTGAGTTGCATTATATAATTGGTGGTTGTGATTTAAATAATAGTAGAAATGTTTGACAAATTACAGGCCAAGGAATATATAACTCCAACATATAATTACCACCAAATTTATTTCGCATAAAGCCAATACGAACTCAACGTTTTTTTAATTTACTTATTTTATAATAATTTATTTAATTTAACAAGATTTGCTTTTTGTTGTTGTGCAGAAAAAATGAAAAAAAACCTCCCTTCTCATTAATTTTATTTTTTCTTCTATAGTAATACCTACAATAAGTTTGAAACTATCTTACATCTATCATGAGCTTGCTTCCTATACGGACACGTCGTGGAGATTGTCTTTAAAACATAACGGTGCAGAGATAATGGCACTTATCTTACATCTATCATGAGCTTGCTTCCTATACGGACATGTCGTGGAGATTGTCTTTAAAACATAACGGTGCAGAGATAATGGCACTTATCTTATATCTATCGTTAGCTTGGTTCCTATACTGACCTGACATCGAAATGCTGTAGTATGTATGCTATAAATAAAACGTTAAAAGAAGAGAATACGTCTTCAGTTAAACTAATTTTCCATTTCCATGATCGGATTGAATTAATCAACAGCGTTTAATTTTTACATACTTATAGGGTTTGAGTACGTAAACGGATGGATACTTATAGAAATAGATACTATTCCATCGCTGAAGTAGTAATTCTAGTTTTTACTGCTGTTGTTTGCTTTGCTGTCGGTAGGTTCTGTTGCTTATATAGGATAGCTGACTCTGATTTCAGGCTATGAATAATTTCATCCCTTATTGGGGAAGTGCAAAGTTAACCTAGTTTGTTTTAAATTTGACGAAGTTGCATAAAAGAAATATTATTTATCTAAAAGAAAAAAGGTTAATAAATAAGTTTAATCTAATTATTTAATATTTTACCAATTTATTATATCATTATTACGGTGAAATTGTGTTTCGCTATGACTGTCAATAAACTACGATTGTGGGCACTTTATAACAGCTATAACAGCCCGCTGGGATCTACTTGTGTGACTCGTTTTCGACGAATGGCTCTTGGACGTAGACCCGACCGTTCTTGAAACCTTTATAAGCTTCAACAAGTTTTGTTGCAATATTACTATAACACACTTGGGTGCCCCTATGTTTGAATCACTGTTTGGAGAGACGATCGGCCGTCTGAAAAGTCAAATGATTCCAGAACATACACCTGACCGCTTTTGGCACCATTTTTAACTTTATGCCAATTAAAAGTTATGGTTAAACATTAAATGTAGTATTAAAATTGTTAGAAATCATAGTCAATCGGGTGAGGCTTCTTATGTTATTATATTATATAGATTTCATTACAAATTAACCTATTAATTTTCAATAAGCACTACTATTTTTCGATTTTACAGTACTTATATTATTAATATTTAAAATATTACATTAATAAATCTTATTTATATTCATACGAGTATGTAATAAATTAATATTTTTCATTTTAATTTTAATAATCATTTTAAATAAATCTTTTGCATATATTTTCCACTATCCAATCATGCTAGGATTCATTTGTGAAGTCATCGCTGTAGCTGCTGCTTGTGCTTGGAGAAGATTCTGTTTGCGATAATTCAAGAAATGCTCCAAATACTGATTTATAGTATCAAGTGGTTCATATGTATCATTTTGTTTAGCATGCATTTGCTGTTGACCCATTGCATTGACCACTGGTTGTGTAAAATATGTTGGATACTCTTTTGGTACCGGTTGGCCGAGAAAACCTTGCAACAATTCACGTATCATCTCCCAGCAGTAAGCTAACACCACACATGGCCTATATTCAATTTCGATAAGTAAGCCTTTGAATTTATCCAAATTGGAAACGGAACCAAGTTTAATAAGAAAATCACCATATTCAAATCGTGCACCTTTCGATTCAATTTTTGATTGTTTCTTTGCTGTGTAAACTGGTGCCATTTTCAGCATCAGCAAATCAAAAAGATTGTCTGCCACCATTGGTATTTGCTTGCCAGCACCATTATCTAATATAGAAAATGAAGAAGCAGGATATTCTGAATCATGTAGCACATGCACTGCTTTAGATGGAAACGGTGGTGATGAAATATAAGTTTCACAATCCACAAGGAATTGTCCTGAGAGCACAGCACCAAGTGAGAGCAAACGCTTAGTCAAGTAATCCAGTGTTTGTGTATTTGTTTTATTTTCATGTAGTGGATATGGAAATAAAACAGTAACACCCATTTTATTATGTATAAAATTTATTTACAATTTTACAAAATTCTACGTTTTATTATTATTAATGAAAAATCTTAAACAAATGCACAACTTCATCGGTTAACAAATGTTTTGATTTATATTTAGAGTTACCAACCTTCTGAAATGTCAAAAAATTAATATAATTTCTGTATGCACTGAATATACCATACACTGCAAGATATATTTTTTTATTTGTGACAAATTGTAAATTTATAATTTCTATAGTGTTAATATAAGAATTTCACTTTTTTATATTATTTTGCTTTTTAGTTTATAAATCTTGTTAACCTGTACAACAATATTTTTCAATATTACAATGTGGAATATATAAATAATAAGAAATTATCTGAAATACAATAAATTTTCTAAGGCACAATGTTGAAATTTGTGCAAATATTCAGAACAGTTTAACATTTAGGCCGTGTGCGAGTTCGAGTAAATTGAGGAAAAGTAAATTGAAATTTCATAGGAATTTTTTTGCACTGCACTTGTGTAAATATTTATTTATTTATTTATTACACTTATTTATTATTTTTGGTTAAAAGTTTTCAAATTTATTTATTTATTTATTAAACAACTTAAAAAATTTTCACACTTGTAATACCTTATTTATCTAATTTTCATGTTATTCACCCTACTCAAAATTCTGGTAAATACAAAGATTCAATACTATACCAAGAGAATTTACTATTTCCCTGAAGTTACCATGAATTTACTCGAACTCGCACACGGCCTTAATTATCTAGAACTATACCCAAGAATACAATTTCTATAAGTACTCGCCGCTTTTATAAGTACAATAGACATCTATAAATATAAAAAGGTAAAATTTATTTGATCGGAACTTACCAAAACTCTTAAAAAAATCAAATTTTACTTTCGAAAAATGTTTAGAAAACTTCAAATCAGCTGATTTTGATCAGCTGATCAGATTTTGATTTTGATCAGATGATTTTGATCTGATTTTGATTTTGATCAAAATAAGTGACAAAAGAAGCCAACTGTTATTTTACGGAATGATGAAAAACGTTGATTGCAAATTACATATAAAGTTTTACCAAATATAAGGTTCGATTTAAATACCACTCCTATGTTTTTTGTTATAAAGAGAACAAATATTAAATTCTAAAAAGACTAATTAATCTTTCATTATAATCTTTATTATTACAGCACGTATAAATTTTAATATATATATTGCTTTTCCAAATTTTAAGGTAGAAATAATACATACAGGTAGATCTCTTAAAAATGAATCATAACACACTTATATGTCAGTATACACTTCTAATTTTTTTTTTATGTTGGCACTTCCTTTTCCTGTTTGTTAACATTTTTTTCAGGTGATTTTTTCGAAAACGGTTTCAGCTCTATAATAGGAGCTTTCAAACTACGGAAACTCTTACGTAAAGTATTTGTCACTTTCTTTGTATAGCTGGTACTCGTACTGGATATAGATACTTTATCAGCAGTCTCGAATTTCTTATCCATTTTTGTAAGAGTATCACCATTTTTAAATCTCATCACAGCAGTATCATCTACCGAAGAACTATCACTTGAAGGATTTTTCAAGTATTTTCTATTAAAGTGTAATTGTGGTGTTCCCCATTTTTTAGCTATAAAAGCCTCAAATTCTGGATCACTATCTGAGTCACTTTCATTTGGTTTACCCTCAAGTCTTCTGTTATAACGACGTCGAATTCTATCAAGCTCATCTTCAGAAGAGAATGCAGTACCAGTACTTGTTGGTGTAGTAGCATTATCAGCATAGGGTATATCATCCATTTTTCGTGTGACAATTATTTCGGATGGCACATTTTTTAAATTGGAGCCTTCGATTTGTGTTTGTTGAAAATCAATTGGATGCAATACTGTGCTTGTCTGGCTATTGCGTGCAGGTTTCTGTTTACGTGGCGATTTTACCTCTAAAACTCTAACACGATAATGTAGTAACTAGTTAAATAGTTAAAAATAAATATATTATTAACAATTATGTTGGTAGAAGACTTAAATGTTAAGTTACCTTTTCTTCATCTATGAATTTAGCTAACTCGGATAATTGTATGCTCACACAAGTTCCTTCAGCAAGTATATCACTGTCATATTCACTGTGTACTGGAAACTTTTGTGTAATTGCTAAGGCTTCATTATCTTCATGTATTATTGTTACTTCATAGGCATAAACATGTTTCTTTTCCTTAATGTTCGATGTACAGGTCATTGTGTATAGCACCCGTTCCTTATCATAGATTTCGTAAAAGTTAAACATTTCGCCGAAAACATCGAAGACATAATATCCGGTTAGTGGTTTTTGTTTAACGCCCATATTCCATATTAAATCCACACTATCAATTTTGAATAGTTTGTTGGAATGTTCCTCAACTAAATGATCTTTCCAATGCGCTTCACGTCCAGACCATTTACAATCACCCCAAACACGTCCCATAAAGCATTTCATTGGTTTATAAATGCACTGCTTCTCATGCCAATCTAGTAGATCAATCTGTAAACGTACCGTACAACCTCCTGATGCATTCCCACAACGGAAGTGCGCCTTAGAGCATAGCGCTTCTACGGTGTGAGATCGCATTGTGGTAAATGGTTCCTGAAATGGAAGATGTCAATAAAATGGTATAATAACATTACAAATCGAAAAATAAATACTATATCTTGCATTTGTTATTAGAAATTTTTATAAACAATAATCAAATATTTAGTTAAAACTGAGGTAACTGATAAAGAGAAATGTGTATTTTCTAAATCTCTCCAGAACTCCGGATATATATATTATAATATTTATGGGATATAAACATGAAACTGAAGCATAAAGAGTATTCCGAAAATTTAAACAGTCTGAGTGAACTATATATATATTATATGTATTATAATATATTATATATGTCTAAAGATTATAGAAAGATTCAAAGTTGCTCTTTAGTACTGCCCGTGCTATAAGTACAGTGTTTTCTTCCTTCTTCTAGTTCATAACAAACTGCAGCTTTAAATTTTGAAAGACTTAAATGCTATAAATGCTCTTTCATATCCAGCAGTGACTCATGATAGGATAGTATCTGTTTATTTAGTTAAAATTTACACCGAAGGATCTTATTTAAACGACGGAATCGACAGCGATCTCACCGTTTTGCTTCGACTACCCGACCATTGCTGTGTATTTCAGGACGAGGTAATTGCAATAAAATGGACAAATTGGCTAAAGGAGGTACATTGTTCTACCTTATTCAGTTCTTGGATAATAGTATCACATCGAGAGTGAGAGTGGGTGATATGGTAATAGTGTTAAATATCTCTGCATCACGTTGGACAAACCAAATAATTCGACTGTCACTCCTATATGGATGTGTAGCGTTTAGCAAAGCTTCAAACAGTACTATTCGCCAGCTAGAAATTGCACAAACCCAAGCTCTGAGAAGACTTTTCAAAGTACCATGGTACATTAGGACGAATGACATTCTCAGGGACCTCAATACTGATCCGATCTAAAAATATGTAAAGAATAGAGCCCTGAAATTATTTGCGAAAACTGACAGACTTGCCAACACCGCGTTATCAAATCTCAGAATGGTTACAGGCTTGTCGGGGAGGTATGCAGATCTGAGGTCAATTATTGCTTAGTCTGAGGAAGTCATAAACATTAATCTTGTCAAGGCGTAAAGAGGGGTTTTGAAAATATCACGAGTTAAGAAAGAGTAAAAGTGCTCAAGTACACTGGCTCAAATAGTTTCAACATAAATAAAGTATCACTAAACTAAAAACCGTTAGTACCTTGGATAAGCAATGAAAGCTTGGGTAGATGAACATTCTTGTCGATTTGCAAGACAAACATAGTCTAAATTGTACAAAATTCGTGCCAGTTAGCTGCCTTATGATAACTAAAGCGGCACTTACTTAGTGCTACAGTATTGGAACTTATCAATCGTCGAGAGGTTAACTTTGTTAGTTTAAGATACGCTTGAGGTGCATTCCAAAAAATTGTGCACTGCTTGTGGATAGATAGTACTCAGTAGTTTAAGGTAATCACAACTTCTACATGACTTGAGTTTTGATCTATTTTCGTGAAAACCATTTCCCACAAATATAGGTTCAAAAAAGTTTAAGATACCTTTTTAAAAACTCACATTATGTTCAAGTGTAAACGCATTCCCCCAAAACACTACGCCACTCCTAACAAAATACCCAAGTGGTATTTATAAGAACCCAGGAGTTTATATTTAGTGTTTGATATTCATCAACCCAACTTAATGTATTATTTGGATTGAAAAGGTTATCTATAAGCTTTTTCTCCAAAAAATTTAAGGTAGTCAAGGTTTACAGTATAGGTAAGGTATATGCCTGAACCAGTAACTAGTAATATTTTTTTGTTAATCTAAAAGTCCGCTCTAGCGCAGAAGACAAAGTCATACGGTCTGATATGGAAACGTGCCTAAACCGGTAAATTAAATATGTTCAAAATAAAATTTTACTAATGACGTAATCATTATGTTTACGTCAATATTAACGTCAAGACGTAAAGTAAAAAATTTGATGTCTTCTAAGCACTTGAGATTAAAATCAATTATTAAATTTACGATTATAATTACTTCAAAATTCTTTCTTTAAACAGCAGATAACGTATCACCAATAACTAAGTACATATAGGTATATAGTATATGGTATATAATTTTTATATTTTATTAAAATTATTTTAAACAATTTTATATGCTTTATATATATATATATATAAATTATTTGAAAGAAAGTTGTTTAAAATAAATTAAAATATGAAAAATATGTATTGTTATAGATATATATTTCCTTATATATTTATATACTGGTATATATGTATAAATATAAATATTTATAAATATATTTATAAATATATATATCTATAAACATATTTATAAATACACCATATATATATATACATGTATATATATATATAAATACATTTCTAAATATATTTATGTCTATTCTACATTTTTATAAAAAACTTTAGACTTACCTTACAAAGTGGACACAGTACCAATAATCTGGTACACTGATCACATACGCTATGCCCTGTTTTGCATAAAAGTATGGGTGCCTTCATAGGTCCACCATGGCCTGGACATTTAAGTTCTTCGATCAAACGTTCATAATGATTTGGCGAAATTAATTTTGGTGCTGCTGGTGATACAGAGGCAGGACGTTCTACTCTGCGTAATACGGGTGTATCTTCTTTAAGTTGCATGGTTGTTACTGTCACCACTTCTGGTACTAGCGCTGCGGTGACAATGGTTGTCTTAACAATTTCCGCTTCTGTACTTTTCGGTGATGAACTTGTGACTTTCGTTTGACTTTGTTCGGAAACTACACTATTATTTGTGTTATCAACTGTAGCAGTAGTAGTTTTAGTGGGAGTTTCCGGTAATGAATTTATGGAAGCACGATTACCATTAGTATCACCTATACCAATGCTGCGTGTACGGCTTAACATAGGCGGTTTGGGAGGTGGTGATACAGGCGACTTCAATGGTGTTGTGTACTTTGGTGAACTTATGCTTGCATCAGATGTGCTATCCATATATTCCTCACGTAAGTGAGTTGTTTGCTCATTAATAGTTTGCACAACGCCATTATTTACTGGTTTACCATTGGAGTCGTTAGTCTCACCACTGGTGTTAGTGTTTGTTGCTATTTTTTCATCTGTTCTGTATTCGCTGATTGTATTAGTTAGGAAAATACGTCGTTTCTCGTTAATTTTCTCAATATTTTTAAGTTGGCTGATCACTTTCAGATCGCTTACATAGCTGTCGGCAGTGTTGCCATTTGTGGTGCCGTTACCATTGATTGTTGTTGTATTGCCATTGTTGTTTAGTGAACTGGTAGCAAAGGTACTCGTTATAGTTTCACTCGTACTGGAAATACTCGATATTATGTTACCGTTTGTTTGCGTTTTGGTGTCATTATTAAGTTCAACACTCGATTTCTCGTAAATCGTATTCATTTTATTTAAGTCGGTAATGAATTTCTTTGCATACGAGTATATGCAAGGCAAAGTTAACTAGTTTTTCGATTTCGAAATAAGTCAATGCGAAATAAGTGCGATAGGTACACGTACATTACATAGACTAAAATGAATTTAAAATATTTTTTCAAATATCCATTAAAACCTTTCGTTTAATTTATTTACTGACTTGCTTGCAACTTTTTTCTATAATTTAACTTTTATCTCGTCAATATCTTATCACGGCAAGAACCTAAAAGTACTGCAATCAATTCAGTTTCTTTTTATTAAAATACAATCGAAAATCAAAAAGTGAATGAAAAAAATCAACAATTTTCTACTAAACAATATACGCAAACGGCAGATATGGCAGAGCGCTACAAGCGGGGAATTCTCCTATCGCGAACGGCGGTATTAGACTAAAACAAATATGTATTTACTTCTGATAAACCTGTCGATTGGCTAAAGAACAGTCAAGCGACTAAATTAAAGGGGCTTTAATTATGTTTACTTTGTTATTTGATGCATTGTGCTGTCTATCATGTATGTTGTTCCAAAGCATGACAACATTTGTATTAAAAATTTAGATATACAAAATTCGGTACAAAAAAGATTCTGGTTAATGAATCAATCTCAGCTAAAAATCTATAGTTAATCGCTGAATCGCTGAAGAAAGACACACGCTTAAAGCTTTCATGCTATTTTTATTGAAATGATCATTTCTCAGTATTCACTTTGTTTTGACGGCAGCAACAGTAGCGGTTCTACAGTCTAACGGGTACCTTTACCATTTATATCTACCAACAAATCCTCAGAGAACAGTGTTTTAAATTCTACTACTAAAGACATTTTATAATAGCAACATTGTTTATATTATAAAGAATGGGTATATAGTAACATACATACCCATATACTTTTATACCTATATGGGTTTACAAAAGTATATACAGTTAAACGCCCATAACTCGAACTTCTATAGAGTCCAACAGGGTTTAAAGGTCAAACTACATAAAATTACAAAAAAATTCTTTAACTCGAAGTCTCTATAAGTCGAACTTTTTCTTTGTAAAATCGTACTTCAAGTTATGGAAGTTTGACTATATATATATTATATACATTGTTATATATATATATTTTATATGATTTTATGTATATAATATATATATGGACTTATGGAAACTGACAGTTAAAGAATGTTATGTGTGTATATAACATACTTTTATATATATAACATATATATACACCTTTTTGTATAGTATACTACATAAAGTTATAAAACTATATATAGTTGTTTTCTTTGGATAGTTCCCATGTTTTCAGGAAAGTCTATCCGTTAGCGTTTCTTGCAAACAAAAGTTGCAAACAGAAATTGGTCTTGTTTGACAAATACATCCAGTTCTAAAATCTGGTCAATATGTTGTTAAACTTGATGATGAGAATAATCACTGAATGCTAATAGTTGTGAGCACTTGATCTTCTCTGACGAATGAATTCAGGCTGCAGATCTATTTGATATGCCGTAAAAATTGACAATGAGAATAATCACAGGCAGTCTGATGGCTATTCTTCTATAGTGTCTAATAATGTTATACAATATAGCTCTCCGTAAACTAAGAAGGCACAACAACTAACAAGCTGTTCTTCAAAACAATTATAAGGTCAATAACAATATAAACTGTTCACTCAATGCTAGCTAAGACAATCTAACTGCAAACAGTAGTTGTGAGTAGAACTTGATATTCTCTGACGAATGAATCCAGATCTCAAATCTTTTCGTAAACCGGTTAAATTTGACTACATGAATAATCTCAAAGATTCAGTAGGCTAACACTCTTGAGTGGCTGCGAATGTTCCTCCATAACTAAAAAGTAAACAAGCTCTTCTTCATAAGGTCTTCTTCAATGTCGCTAAAAATAAAAACAATACATAGTAACTGTGATACTGACTAATCTAACCTACCTGCAAACAGTTGTGATTAGAACTCATTATTCCCTGTGAATGATTCCAGATCACAGATGTTGTCAATATGCAGATTCAAACTCAAACTAAACTCAATGATAAAAATAATCTAAGACATTCTGTACACTATCATTTTAGAATCAGAACTAATAAAGTCATGATATGTGGTTTCCGCGGAATAATTAAGAAAACGAGGCCTTTTTCATAATAATTAATAAAAATGAATACAAACATTACACTGAATGTTGAATTAGATAATCCATACGCAAATAGGTGTTGTGAATACCTTGGAATTCATTGACGAAAAATCTATCAGGTCACAGATATGATCGTTATGCAGCGACACTCATTGATAAGAATAATCTAAAGAATTCTAATTCTTTAGAATTACCACTATAGAGTGACTACTAATCTCGACGAATTCCTTTGCCTGGATTTCAAATTAACGATTTGTGCTACTACAGCTGGTCTAAGTCCGATCAATCTAAATCTGATCAATCTAAACTGAGATCTATTTTAATTGAGAAACTATTTTACATTTTTTTACTGACTGAAATAATTTATAATTAATGTTTTAAATTTTGAAATTATTGTTATAAAATAGTCTTTTTAATTATTTAGAAAATTAATATATATAATTTTTTTTATAAAAATTTTATTTAAATTATCTCAAGTGCACTTTTTTCTAATTACATATATTAGATACTTTCTAGACAATATGTAATGCTCATGAGGTTAGTAGGTCTAATAACGTTATTTGTTAAATGTTGATTGCAACAACACTTCGAGAGTACAAGTTATTTGTACTCTTTATAGTTATTATAGATAAGTATATTTGATATATGTATGTATATAAAAAAATTATGTATAATTTATAATCAGTAAAAACCGTCAATGATATTTGCTGTAAGCTTTCTTATCGTATTAATTATAATAAAATATTTATTAATTTGACAACACTTTACAATGCGGTACAAGTTGTATATAACATGCAAGCTGACATGTTCTACACCCTACATATCCGATGGATGCATATATGACTCAGTCAGTTTGGTAGTTGAATACAATACAGAAATAAAAATAAATGAAAAAATAGTAAGTTTTGTTTAATTTATTAAAATATTTATGTATTTATGAGAGAAAGAGAGAGAGAGTTAGAAGGGGGTGGAGAGAGAGAGAGGGGGGGGGGAGAGAGAGAGAGAAGTGCATAAGTGTTAAATAAACAGATATGTATATAGCTGTTTGAAGTATTAAAATCCAAGTACGTAAGAAAAAATTGGTAGGTAGTTTCATACAATTGCTTTCCAATATGAGTTAGAAATACAGATACAATCTATTAGGAAAACATATATAAACATACAATATAATATCTAAAAGATATAAAGTAAATATTTGATTGATAATGTAAAACACCTACTTTGTCTACGTCCAGTTTTCCCTACAACTCACTTTTCCCTACAATCCACTTTTCTCCACAACCCATTTTTCTCTACAACCCATTTTTCTCTACCTATTAGCATCTTATATGGTATATGATATGAATAATAATTAATAACTACATTGTATATAAGGCCAACCTATTTGTTTGTGGTCTTATGATGAGAATGATGATGTGTTTCTATTATTCTAAGTGGAACACAGGCTCTTAAAAGTACAGATTGTTATAAATACATAGACACTGTAATAAAGTTTGACGATAATGATGATGCTTTTCTATCGTAAATAAATCATACCTACATAAACTGAAACCTCCACTAAAATCGAAAAGCAATCATTTTAATAATGACCTCCGACCATCTAATTAGCAATTTATAGTCGTTATTGACGGGTTATAAAAATTTTATGTATATCTATTAACTTTTTATAGGTTTCACACGATAATGACGTAAATTTGTGATTATTATTTCTGTTTTTCCGAGAAGAGATGGAAGAGTGGAATTAAAGAGTAAAAATTAATTTGATGATGTAATAAAAAAATGATTTCTTTACTCTGCTAATTTATGATTTAAATTTAATTGAAATTTAAATGGAAAAGAGATTAAAAATATTAAAAATGCATAATTCCGAAGCAAATTAATTTATTTATACGTTAAGTAGAAAAAAAATAGAGTTTAACTGGTTGTTAACCCATCAGTTTACAAATTTACAAAGTTACATATCTAATGATTAAGACTATAATGTACTTTCCCAATTTAAAAGATTCTTAAACCAGCTTAAATCAATATCGATAGTATCACTACTGAAACCATTCTTTGGTCTCCGGATTTAAAATAGAGTTAAAGTTAAAAGAATTCTTAAAACAGCTAGCATGGTCCATAACTATACTAGCACAATAGACCTACTTTTTAAATCCTAAGTGACCTTCGAATGGCTTGTCAATAGTATCTATTATTTAAATCAAAACAAAAGCAATTATTTCTGGAAAATTAAACATTAATAAATCGATCAATGTGATAGATTTGAGGGAACTCATTAGTCGACTTTGTACGTTATATATTTTTATTTCAAGTTATAACAGGTAAGCACGAGTACACACTGTACATATTCGGAATAAAGAGGAATTAGTTCAATGGTTTGAAATAATGTAAATTTAAGTGATTATGAATTACTCACATATGACGTTTAAAAAATTATGAGTAATAAATATTATTGAGGAATGTAATTAATCCCAGAAATGCAGAAAAAAATGTTAAAATAATAAAATTTAAATAGTTCAAAACCTTAAAAAATTTATAAAGCTGCACAAAATAAGCAAAAAATTTAAAAAAAAATTTAGTGCTATATTTTCTACATCCACATATTATAACTAATCACTTTTAAGATTAACAGATCTTATACATATCTGGTAATTTACTAGTTAAACGCACCTAATGAAGTTGAGCATGAGTCTAACACTATTTCTTATATCGTAAACTGCTCCCTGGACGTACATCATAAAAAATTATTATAAGCTAAAGACTGATGATCCCTATGGAATATTACAATATTAGAACTATTACACTACCACAGACACTAGCGAATAGAAGAAATTTAGTGTACTTAATGTTTAATGTTGATCAGTTCCAGATATTGGAGACCGTAACGTTTCTATTATTGAAAGCGAGGTACATTTGTTTAGACGAATGTACGAATTACAATGTGATACATGTATGCTTGGAGATTACCTGAAATAGATAAGAAGAATACCCAATTGTCTGTCGAAGTCTCTT